ACGTCCACCTTTCAAGCTCACAGGGAATGACTGATACTCTAATGAAGGTAAATATGTTGAAGTCTATTTAGTTTGGAGTATCTTCAACATTGCTATTTAAAATATATATATATATTTCCCTGTCAGCTCATTGAGACGGGCCAGGACATACTGCTACAGACAATGAACATATATTTATTTTCACATGTGAGATTTGAAGGAGATGTGATTGCTCTATAGCATCATTATCAGTTTTATTTGGAATTGATACCAAACAACTAAATAGAAGGCTGCTATGAGATGTGCTTATCCAGTTTGGCTGTCCAGTCAAAAAAAGTACTTAAAACACAACTGACAGCTTATTGCTTGAAAAATACTTTATTGATGCATCAAAATAGTTTTAAAAGTACAAAAAAATCTAATCTGTTTTATACATTAGCAATTAATACATCTGTAAATAATCAGAAGAAAACCATAGACTGTATAATTAAAAATGGATATAGATGTCACTGATAGGTTTCTGTTTCTGTCAACATCCTGGCAGTCCTGACTCCATCGGCTCCCAGCTAATCCAAAAATGGGCAAAGATGTGAAGATATATTGTTCGATACAAATCATTACATGAGTAAATGTTAATCTTTCTCATCCAACACTGAAGAAGATGCTGACTTTAAAGCTGCACTATCACCTGGATACTAAAGCTTAAATATCTCAAACTGTTGGAACAGCTTCCGTGCAGTTTACTACAAAAACCTGTAACTATAAAAAATAGAAAAATAATGATACAGTGAAAATGGGAATAATTAAAGTAAAAAATACATCCATATAATGTATATTATGCTAAGAAATTAACTGTACAACGTACTGAACATATCTTATATTTGGACAGCACACAATAATTTAATGAAAGATAATTTAATGAAAGGCTGTCAACATTATTTCTTTGATGATACAGTTATTTTTATAGACCTGGAATAAAACCAGAAAAAAATATATACGGTTATTAAAGACATATGGATTCTTTGTAGAATAAGTCAATACATTAAGCACATCAGATGGCAGCATTATTACCGAGAGCTGTTCCTGGTTTAACTGAATAAACAGCATCAGCAGTTGCTGATAGGTAGGTAGAATTAAAAAAAAAAAAAAAAAAACTCCTGTGTAATGATACGACACATTTCAATACAGATTCTGAGTATGATGGTTGGAACTGACTGTACCTGCAGTTGCTGTTTTCACATCAGAGTAAACAGCGCTCTCCTCTGGTTCCTTTTGCTTCCCTGTTTAAATAATCAGATTAATCCAAAAATAAAAAAAACATTGTTCTTTAGATACTGCAGTCCAAGACATCTCTAATGTATTTTTAATTTATTGTATGTATTTAAAGTAGGCTTACTCACTCTTCTTTCCAAAGTTTTTAAGTTCAATCAAAGAATATGTGACATCCTGGGATCTACCTGCATCTGAAATAGAAGCTACATATTTTTAGTTACAAGATTTTATATCAATCATTTATAATCAGTCCCTTTAAATCATGCAGTTGTTCTGCCACAGCAAAACCTTTATAGCCTAAACCTCTAATCTTCAGACCCAACACCCTTCCCTGATGATGAAAGTAATATAAACAAGAACAGCACATACCATACATTTTGAGCAATGTGTGTGCTGGGCACAGACAAAATAATGTAGGAACTTCATGAAACAGAACAAACTTTAAAGTAACTCCATCATTATTGGTCAAATGTGTCATCAGAAGTGATATTTTCACAATGTTCACTGTTAATAACCCTAACCCTAACCTGTTGAGGCCTCGCAGGTCAACAGAGCTTCTGAACCCAAGTAGAGCAACCCGGCTGATGTGAAAGTCATAACACAATACTGGATACATTTTAAATTTGACCTGCTGGTGGTCCTGGAGGAAAAGACAGAGGGTCACCAAAAGGTCATGATAGCACTATCTCCAAATGTATATGATTGCAGGTTCAAGACCTGTTTAATAAAAGCTCTGAATATTATCTAGAAACAAGAATGTTACAAATATTATTCAAAGTAATTTCATCTTGTTTTAAAACTTACAACTTGGAGCTAAATTTGATTATTTTCAGAACAGACTTAAATTTGATCGTGTTATTTTTACAGTGTGTTGGGGATGAACTGTACCGTTTTCAGTGTCTTCAGAACCTTTGATTGATTCATACAGAGGA